CCTGCAGAGCCACATAATTGGATGTCAGGTTGTGTCCCCTCTGTCCCCATAACACAGAAGGCAATGTGGCTCTCCAGTAAGTCCCAGATTGACAGTATGTGCAAGAAATACTCAAGAAAAGGAAGGTGCTCCTAAAAAAAACCAAACCCAAACCTGTGATGTGTGAAATGAATTTGGATTGCATGGATCTAAATACATTCAGTGTTCCACAGATATCCACGGTGAGCTGTTTTTTCACTTCAGCTGTGAGTCCTCCTTTCAACTTAACTGTTAACAGCCAAGGACAAAATGTACTCTAGTGCACCACAGAACTGAACTTTTTAGGTACCTAAAATTCTGAAGTAATGGCAGCTCTAATCTCTGGGGAGTAAGAACAATGGCACAACATGTTGCCTGGTTATACAATAAACTTTGGTGACCCAAGCACGTTACATTCAAGTTTTATTCAGGTTTTGGGTGATCAGATAAACAGAAGAACATCTATGGATGGCACACAGCTCCAAATGAAGAACCAAGGCTGGTTAGCTACATTTGCTTCCCATTAAGTCCAAAACTAACTTGCTATGAGAAAACAGTATTTCATACAGAAATACAGACAGATTTGCAATTCATTTTAAGAGTCTTTCACGGAAATAAACAAAAGGAGACAAATACCAAAAGATAACCTAAAAACCTCAAAAGGAATAAAAAAATACTGTGCTTGTCCCTTTAATCTGTAGCCTTAGGAAAGTCCAAGTGGTCTTTCCCAGCAGCAGTGGGAATCTTTGCATCTTAAGTGAGAAGTCTTTTAGTGAAATAGTAAAACACAGCGAATTTTGTCCAAAATGGCAACTGGGGAAGTTGTTGTGGGGGAGAGAAAGGGACCCTGCCTTGCAGGTTCAGTCCATCCTTCCTTTTCACTTCTGCAGTATCTCATTTTAACAATACTGAACACTGCAGCCCCCTCTTCCCCAATTAACTTTGTTGAAAAAATAATGAACCAAAAAAAAAAATAAAAAAATCTGTCCTTCCTGACTTTATATGACAGAAAATATGCAGGAGACACAAGCCCAGTTTTTAAGTCTTTTCCAGGTTATCTTTTGGAACAGCTGTGTAGCAAGGCAACAAATATTAATATAAGCTAGTTTTCTTCATGATTCTCAAGAACTCCTGCTCACTTACTTCTCCATCTCCATCTCGATCAGCTTCATCGATCATTTCCTACAAAACACATCGGACATTTGATCAAGCACTGGACTCAAAACACAAGATAATCCACTCATTAAAACAACAATCAATCAGAAGCACTTCATGTGAAAACATAACCGTGTTTGACTGGCCCTTCATATTTCTGACCTCTCAAACCTTTTTGTATAGGCATAAATTTTCACCCGGTCCTTAGGAGCTACAGGATAGGTCTGTGCCTGTTAGGCAGGCTCTGGTAAATCAGAATTTACCTGAAGTTCTTCATCTGTTAGATTTTCTCCCAGCTCCTTGGCAACCCTTTTCAAGTTTTTGAATGAAATTTTTCCTGTCCCATCATCATCAAATAATCTGAAGGCTTTCAAGATTTCTTCCTGTGAATCCTTTTCGCTCTAAAACAAGAGTAAAACACGTGTTAATTAGAAAACTCCTGACTTCAAGCTGCTTATGCTGTCACAAGAATTTCTACTAAGAATTCCTACCATTTTTTGTGTCATCATGGCCAAAAAGTCTTCAAAGTCGATGGTGCCACTTCCTTCCTTGTCAATGTCTGCTATCATTTTCTTAATCTCTTCCTTCTTTGGCTCAAAGCCCAAAGCCCTCATTGCAACCTGCACCAAGAACCAATTGTTAGAAGACCACCAAAATTAAGTTGTAAGCAGCTGAGCTAAAGCTTGTTTCATTTCCTTGTTCAAAAATGTAGTAACAATTCACTGCAATGAAAACACCTTGGTATCTCTTACCAGATTCTTTCATCTTTCCAAACAGAAATAGTGTAGGCTTGATATTCTGAAGATTATGTTCTTCCTACATGGTCTAGTGGAAATCCATAGTTAATTAACATTAGGCAGAAATTTTCCTGCTGAACACTTTTCTAATGGAAAGTGTCAATTCATCAGAAACATGTGTTTTCTGACCAGTTCTTTGCAATGGGACAACTTGAAAAAGTTCCTTTTTGTTTATTTTAGAGGGCAACACTTTCTATTGTAAAATATCTACTATTTTGAATTTATTTTGAAAAAGAAAACAGCATTAAGTGGTTGATGCTAAAACAAGTCAGTCTCTTTTAAGAACTGTACTTTAACATGTATCATCTGCATTCAGGAAACATGCTGTCCTTAACCAAGTACTTCCAAGTAAATCCTGAGCTAAGCCACAGGCTTAGGTAACTCGTGCAGAAATTGAGGCAGAGTCTGTGTATGTGAGAAATCAAGGTCAAGGAGATAATTAAAAGGTTCACACAGAAAAGGATAAGACACATAAAAACACAGGGAGAGAACTGAGAATAATCCTCCCCCTTGTACTACTGTGTGTATGCAAGTGCACACACACTACCTGAATTGCTACTGAAATGAAACTCAGATCCCTCTTTTGCTCTTTTTTATATTAAAAAGCAGGTAATTTTTTGATTACATATATGCAAATGTGGTTGTAACCTTCCTGAATGTGTGCAAAATGTGTGTTTAGTTCTGAGGTGAAGAAAATATACGATATTCTGGCATTCATCCCAGAACAACAAAAGTCCATTTCCCAGAAACAACCATCTCAGACATGAAAACTGAAATGTGTACTGCATGTACCTAAACACAGGAACTGTTTAGTTCCTCTAATGCTCAGATAATTCCAAGTTATCAGACCTAAATATTCACATATTAGAGAAGCCCGTCTGCTCTGAAGCATTACATGCAGGGTACACCACGTAATACACCCCAAATTCAGTCATGACAGCAAGCCATTACTCTTGTTCATACTCCCAAAGTATTTTAAAGTAGGGCTGGACAAACAGAAAAAGCGGCTACAGTTTTAAGATCAAAGATATTTTCATACAAGGGAAAAAAAAAAAGTTTGAAAACCTTCAGTTCTTTGATGTCGATGCTCCCAGATCCATCGGTGTCAAACAAATCAAAAGCTTCTCGGATCTCCTGCTTTTGCTCTTCTGTAAGTTCAGGCTTCAAGCCACTTTTCTTCCGCTGGGCTGTAGCTAAGCCAGGTTTTCTGTAGTTGGATGCCTTCAGAAAGTAAGGGAGACAGCAGATAAGAAATAGCCCATTCCAGGGAGAATTCAAAATACATTAAATTATAAATAACAAAAGTAAAACCGTAGCAGAAGTGAGAGACATTCCTTGCTGCAAGTGGTAGACACTGAGGTCTCTATGCTCATTTCTTTGGTTATTCTAAAAAGAATACAAGCAAAGACTTTGTTCCTGGAAAATGTGCATTTGAGCTTCATGTTTTCTGTTTTAAACAGAAGGAGTTTTGAAGATTGAAGGAGTAAAGCCAGAAGAACAGGCAGGCAGACTGAAAATGAACACCCCACTGAGGAGACTTCGGACCCTCTGTACCTCCTGCGGTGGCCTGGATGTGTCAGGAGTGGTTTCACCTGGAAAATGTGAGTCCATCATCCTCACAGCTAAAAAAGTTGGTTGCACAGGGTCTCCACTGTGAATGGCACACAAATTCAGCCACTCCTCCAAGCCAGCTCTGAGATGGGGATGTCCCAGAGCACCTGCTCTGAGGGAGCAAAGTGTAAAGGGAGCTGTGCAGCTCCAGGCTCCCTGTCCCCCGAGTAGGAGGGAGCTGTGCTGTGGAGCCAGGTAACAACGTGTTCTGGGAGCAGTGAGATCAACACGAAATCTGTCCCTTAAGGAGCACTAATCTGCTTGTGCTGAGCTGGTACATCATTATCCAGGATAATTCTGAGACCTTTCCTGCCTCTAAGTGTGAACTGTACAGTACAGGGTCTGCGGGTCCCTCCCATCTACTAGAGCTAGAAAGATGTTTTCCTCAAGTCTAGTTTCGTTTTTAAGTCACCAGCAGACAAATTTTAGTCCTTCAGTCTTGAATCTGCACAGACTGGTGGAAGGAAAGGCAGTCCCTCCCATCCCCAGCTTCAATTGGTTGGGCTTCATAAAAGCAAATAAACACCAAGCAAGGAATTTGTTACCTAGCTACTGCTAACCACTTTCTTATCTCAGCTGAATCGGTACCATTTTTCTGGCTGGGATCACTCTCTTAAATTCTCAATGTGTAACACAGAAATCCCATTTTCTTGTAGTTAACCGTGAAATTTCTTTTTTTTTTTTTAACACGATTTGTCCCTCCCAGGTTGGATTACAAAGCAGTTCGTCTGGCTTTTCCCTGCTATCGACACGAGCATCAGATTTTTACCCTTTATATGCCGCTCTGGCAAAATCCCACGAGAGATCTTTTTCCTGACTATAGAGCCTTATCGTTCTCTTTATTCCAAGTCTGAGCTGAACAAATCCCTTCCAGGTTCCCGCTCCTGGCCTGGCCGGTGCCATCCCAACCTGCCACCGCGACAGCACGAAGCGGAGGAGCTCAGCGAGCCGTGCCGAGACGAACCAGGCATGTTCCCCCCGGCTTGCTGAGCGCAGGTGCCGCATTTTGCGAATCCCGGTGTTTTTTTCGGGAGAGTTTTCCATGGTGACAGAGCTGGGGGGGGCGGAGGTAACCAGGCGGCGACGGCGGCCTGGGTGGGAGTGGAACCCTGAGAGGGGTTTGCAGGTTGGCGGGGAGGCGGAGGGACTCGGAGGGAGTCGGCGGTGGGAAGAGGAGCCTGCGGGGGAAGTAAAGGAAGGGAAGGAAGGAAAGGAAGGACGCGCTCACCATCCAGGCAGGAACCATCCGGGACGGGACCGGGCGGGACGCACCGCAACAGACACGCGCCGGCCGATCGGCCAATGGGCGAGCCGGACGTGCCGCGGGACCCGCCCCCCCGCCCAGCACGGACCAATGGCGCCGCGCCTTTCCCGTGATTGACAGCTGAGAGCGCCGCGGGGCCCGCCCGCGGAGCAGCGGCCGCCGTGTCCAGGCAACTGGCGTGTCCAGGGAGGCGCCGGGAAGCGCCGGGAAGCGCGCACACACCGGTGAGACACCCGCACCCGCACCCGCCGCCGAGCCACCGGGCCGGTCCTCCGGACCGCAGGAAGCGGCCGGGCCGCCGCCACGGCAGTTCCGGGGCGCCCGCTGCGTCCGCTCCAAGCTGCTTCCCCCCCTCCGGCGATCCGGGAAGCGCTTCCTCTCCCTGTGAAGATCAGGAGATAGTGTTCGGATGGACTTTCGCTGAGTGGGATGGAAACATGAGCTTTTTGGATTTTGGGCTAGCTGCGCCAAGGGGCCTTTGGGGAGATGGAATAAATGATATGATGAATAAATTCCAGTACCTGAAGGGGACTTATGGGAAAGATGGGACAAGACTGCTTACAAGACAGGACAAGGGGGAATGGATTCAAACTGAAAGAGAGTAGGCTTAGAATAGTTTAGATATTGGGAAAAAATTAAATATTAGGGAAAAATTTTTTACTTCGGGGGTGGTGAGGCCCTGGCACAGGTTGTCCGTAGAAGCTGTGGATGCCATATCCCTGGAAGCGTCCAAGGCCAGGGTGAGTGGAGCACTGAGCAACCTGGCCTAGTGGAAGGTGTCCCTTCCCATGGCAGGGGGGTTTGGAAGGGGATGATCTTCAAGGTTCCTTCCAACCTACACCATTCTGTGATTTGAAGCTGAGCATAAAAGGTATAGGGCTCAGGGTTCTCAATTCTTGGTGTGTATACTTTGTAATTCAAAAAGGAAGTTTTAGTTTAATCCAGGACTGTGGTATGGAAGAGATTTTGAGGAAAAGAAGATTTATTTTTGGTGTGTTTAAAACAAGTAACAGATCAAAATTTTAAAACCTTGGCAGTTTATGAGGTATTTAGAAGTGGCATTGCTTTTCATGCATGCATAAAGTATTGATGTCTGCTAAATAGACTACATAGAATTGGAAACAGATAAGTTTGGTTTTCCAGATTTTGAAGATTAAACCTTCAAAGGGTACAACTATTGGTACCAAGAAGAATCTGTACAGAGCACTTGTTATTTTATGTAATTTGCCCATTCTGCTCTAATGAACTTTTACTCTAAGTAAGGCAAATAACTGAAATTCCAGATAACAGGTCAGGAGGGGCATAGTAGTTCTATACAGTCTGCAATGCTTCAAGTTGAAGAAACTATGGGAAGAAGGCCAGAAACGATTCAATGGCATTTTAGCAACACACCATTTCAGCAATTGTATGCACTGACGTCTCATAATAAGTGCACGGGATAAAGAATTGTTTTATACGGAGCAGAGCTGTGTTCAGGGTTAGACTGCTAAATTACTTTTTTGGGGATCTGTGCTCTGGCTTGCTGTGAGGTTGGGTCAGTAAGTTTGTGTTCTGTCCACAGATGCTACCCACTGCCCATGGCTTTCAGGGATGTGAATGCAAGGAGACATATTGGACTCCAGCAACTCTCATCCTTGGCATCGACCGGAAGAGCATTTCTGGGGCCAATGAAATCTCATAAATTCATTGTGGATGAAACCACCAACCAAAGCACATTGATTTGTTCTGCTGTTAGACTGATTGAAAGTTTGGATTTGACTAGTGCTGCTGGACAGCTTCTTAATGAAACCATTCAGGCACAGAACAAGGAGTTTAAGACTGGGCTGAGTACCCTGTTGTTCCTCGTTGGTGCGTGGAGCAGTGCCGTGGTGGAGTGCCTCCAGCAGAATGTTCCTGTTTCAGCAATAGTGTCTGTGATGTCTGAGGGGTTGAACTCTTGCTGTGAGAGAGTCCAGTGTCTCCAAATATCAATACATGATGTAAGGAAAGAGCTGTGTTCTAGCAGAGTTAGGCCAAACGCTTTTGAATGCAAAGCTTGCCAAGTGGGATGTGACAGTCTTCTAAATCCTCAGGATTTGCTGTATTTTCATAAATGTATTTCTGAACCAGAAGTAATTTCAATAAGTTGTTGTTCCCATCAAGAAGATGATTGTCATTTTAAGAAGGGCCTGGTTTCACCCTTGGTTGGCTTTGTTTCATCAGCTTCTCTTGTCAAACCAGAGGGTGACAGAAGTTCATCTGTGATTCCTGGAAGTGGTGTTATTGCATCCAGCTGTATCAAACAGAAGTTAACCCACAGCAGACACTTCAGGACTTTAGGAAAAAGCCATTTTTCAGGTCAACAAGGTAATTTTCAGGAATACCTTTTGAAACCATCAGCAGATCCATGTGAATGCTCTGATTTAGGACACCTGGCAATGGCTCTGAGTCATGGAAATCAGACTGACGTGAAACTGCTCCAGAGCATTGTTGAGTATCAGCAAGAGAGAGCAGAGTGCAGGGGCTCTGCCCAGCTTAATATCACAGAGATTGTGACATGCTCTTTGCTGGGCCTGCCTGAAAGCTATTCCTGTGTCTCCCAGGGCTTTGTCACATTAGTGTCACCAGAACAAGCCAAAGTCATCAAACACTTTAAAGACAAATCCCTCCAGATCCTGCTGGTGGATGGTGACCTAACAGAGCAGTATCGTCACTTAGGTTTTAACAGACCACATAACGTAAGGACCGTATTGGAGCATCCTAACCTAGAGGGAGGCAGAGCAGGAGACACGTGGCTAAGCAGAATGTTAGATATTCTAGTGACCTTTGAAGTAAACCTAGTTTTGGTCAAAGGAAGCGTGTGCAAAAACTTACTGGACAGATGCACCGCAAGCAGGATACTGGTAATCAGTCCTGTGCCTCGGGATGTGTTGTGTGCCTTTGGGGAGGTCACTGGTGCCCAGCCAGTGACATACCTGAGCCAGCTGAACCCTTCCTGTGCTGGGAACGGGGCCCAGGTGGAGCTGTGGGAGGCCAGCGATGGGCGTGTGATGGATCTGGGTGAGCTTGTGCCGGTCCGGATCAACGTGCGAGGCATCCCCCTGCTCACTGCCGTGCTCACCACTGCTGTGGCTTCCAAGGTGCAGCTCCTTGAGGACCAGTTCTGGACTTCAGTGTATCGACTCCACCATGCTTTAAAAGATGGGAAGGTTTTTCCTGGGGGTGGTGCAGTGGAGCTCTTGTGCCTCAGCCACATCCAGGTGCTCACAGAGCAGCCTGTGCGACCAGCAAAGGCTGGGAAAGAGTTTCCCAGTCCTTGGCTGGACACACCTGTGGCAGAGTATAAATCCCTTGTGCTCCAAGCACTAGCAAGTGGCTGGAAGAGGTACCTTTCCGTGGTCATGTGTAACATAGCAAAGGCTCCATCGGAGTTGGAAGCACGTGCATTAGTGGATCATCACCTCAAGAAAGCAGTGGATTGTGGCTCTCCCTCAGCATATATATTGGAATTGTTCAGAAGAGGTGATGTGCTTGGGGGTGGCTCTAGTCCCTTTGCTGACCATGGCGAGGGTTTAAAGGTTTACGATAACGTTGCAGCCAAGACAGAGGCGTGGAGGAGAGCCCTGGACTTGGTGCTGCTGGTGCTTCAGACTGATGCCGAAATTATCACAGGCCCCAAAAGGAATGAGCTGTTGAACTCGCCTGTGTCAAGTGAATTTCTGTTCTTATAGGACTTTGCAGTCCCTGAGTCAGCGGGAGAAGTCCAGGTTCAACTTACATGTCCTCGTAATTTATAAAGCAAACACTGAGATGTGATTATGACTTTAGAGCGTAACAGCAGAAATCAGAATGAGAGACAGTCACAAGGTAATTTTTTATTTCTAGAAATGGGAATTAAATAACAAAAATCAGTTATGAGCTTACCTCTCACTCTAGCCTACTAATATTGTCTGTACAGATGTCTCCTAGTGTCCTCTAAAGAAAGGTAGGGACTTCTTACATGACATTGGTGTGCTTGTGTTAAATTAAAGAATATATATAATGTAATTAATTATGAATTAATACCTTGTTCTTAATTTTCATACATTGTAAGCATAAGAGTTAAACTTGAGTGTTACATTTTACACTAAGAGATCATATTAATAGATTCTATTTTTGTATATTTATGTGGTCCATATATCTCCTATTTTCCGATACATACCCTTTGGAATTTCTCTGGATTTGACAAATTCATGCTGAATCCTTCCTTTTGGTATTATAGACTGGGTGTATCTCCACAAAATTTTCAATTTTACATCACGAACTGGATTTCTAGGTTGTTTCAGTTATCTTTGTAGAGAGGAAAATGATCTATGTTTTAGGTGTTGGCTAAAAACCGTAAACAGGTCTATCATGATTGAGGCAAGGCATTTTTACTGTGTTACAGCACTTATAATTTGGAAGCAGAGCCCTGAAGAACTGGCACTTCATTGAAAGAAAGAGGTGTGTAACTATGGAGATTTTTTTTTTTCTGAACTTGGCATTCTGAATCATACTTAAAGTGAAATGTCTCAGTTCTGGTGAAAACAGAACAGAAAACAAATGGAAATGGTGATGTTAAAGTGTATTCTTGCTTTCAGGAACTTTCTCGTTAAACTGCTGATGGCTGGCATACAGATGATGAAATTCACCCTCAAATAAGGTTTAAATATATAGAGAGATGAGTATGTATATTAAAGTAGTGTTATATCTTTGACCTGAAACAGCAAATCTTTTGGTTTTCTATCAAACTCCAGAATTCAGTGGATTTTGGGAAAATCTCATCAGTACTGTAGGGGTTTATAATTTTAATTTGGAACAGTATTTCCTAGCAGCATAGGGGTCTAGTTATATGGAAGTTTTGATCAGCCTGCAATTACATTTTCATTATTAATCAGTTGGCACATTGATGTTTAACTGCTTGGTGTACTGAGACACGAGAGAGAAAGAGTCTGGTAGATCAAAAGAGGCAAAAGGAGCTGGTGGCTGTTAAGTGAGAATGAAGTGGAAACACAGCATATAAATAAATATGAACAGACTCTGTGCTCTGCAAGGGTTTGCAGCTCATGTTTGGCTTTATACCGGGTTTTTTTTGAACCTCCCGTACTGAGAATTGCATAACCCCAGTTCCCAAGAAAAGATCCACTTGCACTTTATTTGAATAATAGAGTTAAGTGTGTTGTGGAAAAACTGCAGACATGAATTGTATTGAGGTGGTCCAAACATCTATTTATGGGGCTCTTAGACACTGAGAGCTGACGCACCAAGTGTTGAGAAAGTCCAACATGATGTAATTTTTCCAATCAGGCTTGTAAAAAGCACATAATGATATATTTAAATGCCGTGATGCCGAAACCAGGACAAGGGGTTTTCTAAAAAGCTGTCAGACATGATATTTTGATTAATTAACACTTGCTTATCTACAGGCCCATGAAATGGAAAATTTTATAAACTGGCTAGATATTGTAGCCCGGGTTACTTAAAATTATTTCTCCTCAAGGCATCCTCTTCTGCAATTTGGAGTACAATATACTAGTACAGTATAGTTCCCCAGCCTCAAATCTCTTAAACCTCTTTGTAACATGGAAGGAGATCCTGTGCGTGTCTGCCGTGGCGCTCGGCGCCGGGAATGATTTCAACATCTGCCACGGGCGATTTCGGCTTCTGCCAGGCAGAGGCTCCTCCTCTGTGCACAAAGGCTGTTTGTGTAGAGCGTGATGTGATGGCAGGGCTAAACTTTTACATGTGATGTGCTTGGGAAATTGGGAAATGGCAGAGATTTCAGGGAAAGGATCGTCCCAAGGCATTGGCAGCCTCTCACCCCCTGCTGAAACCAAGTCCTAGTCAGGTGCCTTGTTTCTCCCTTGCATCCCAGTGTCATCATTTCCAGCTCACTCCTCCTGTTTATGGCTGATGACATTTTCTCTTTATAAGGCCAATTTTTTAGGTCTCTGCTCCTTGAGGATTTCCTGAAATGTGGTGGAGGGCTTAATCATGGCAATAAGACCCTTGTCCCAAGCTGGGCCAGCCTAGGGGGCACAGCCTACCTTCATATCCTGGCTTTATAAGGACTGATAGCCTGGTGATCAGTGGTTGTGAAGAGGCACCTGATAGTTTGCCTACTTCAAGTATACTGAAAATTGTGAGCTAGGAAATGTAGGAGACAGTGGTCCCCAGGTAGACAAAGGAATGACTGAGGGAGACTGGGGGCTGGGAAGGTTAACGTAGTTATGGAGCAGGGAGGGCTGGAGGAGAAAACTTCAGCTCACAAGAAAGTTGGGAGAGTCAAGACAGTTTATTTGTACTGACCTCCTGCTGATATCCCAGGCCAGAGCTGCTGGAGAGGCTGGGAGAACATTTTCCTTTTTCTTAGTGGGAAGAGGGGTGGAGAGGGGAATCTAATCTAGGAGAAAAGTTACGGAGTGACAAGAGATTTTCAGCTCTGCTCTGAAGGACAACTGGCAGACCTGAGTCATCCCATCAGTTACATCATCAGCAAAAGATCATTCTTACAGCACCAAGACCTTCTTCCATGAAAAGCAGGTTGGCTTCCCATAACCAACTCAGGCAGGACATCTAGAGGAGTTGAACTAACTCTACCAGGTATCAAGTGAATTAAATGTATTTTTATGTGGGTTTTTTTTTAATCTGTTTTGTGTTTAAACTCTAGAATGCCCTGCTACGTGACAGTGCCATACTCAAATGTCACTGAGCTGCTCCTTCAAGGAGGGGCTCGCTGTTTCTGGAACCTGGACTGCTGTGCACTACAGGCATTTCTGGGAGTAACAGAGACTCACTACAAGCCTTACAATTTGTATAAGGCAAACTGACAGGAAGTCTTAAATTGTTGTTTTTCTACAGCTGCTGTAAAACAGGGATCTAGTACTGACCAGCTGTAAGTGTGGTTTGTTTTTTTAATCAGAACCACAGGCTTCATGGGGTATTCTTTACTTTTGGAAGGACCAGGTTGTGGCTGTGTTCAGAAGTGTGGCACGGTGATACGTTTGCTTTGTCCCTTGTGCGACTTCTTTGTGTTAATTCTTTCCCTGGGGAGTTAAGCTGGATTTTTAGCTTTTGGTAGCTTCCAGAAAGGCCTTTTCCAACCTTAAGGATTCCACGATTCTATGGTTCTGTGAATGTGACCATCCATGCTGCTGTTTCTACAGCTCTTTTTTCACAGCCACTTGTAGAAGTGTCACTTACTCATAGCACTTTAAGACAGAGGGAATATATTCCAGTTTTATTCCTCTCTCTCCATAGATCAGCAATCCTTGGAGACTATTCCACACCAGCACAGTTAAAGCATGGTTTGTATGACCTAATTTGGAAAAGTCAAAAAATTGGACTAAATTCTGCCACTTTCCACCAGCATTGCTGCATTAATTAACCATTTATTGCAAAGGTGCAGGACCAAGATCTTTTTCTTTCAAGGTGGTGTGTTAACCACGAATAGATCTGCAGTCTTAAAGGGCTTTTTCTTTGTAGATAATGCTACTCCAAGAACTAATGTCCACAGGGATGCTTTCAGCACAGTTGAAGGGAGAGAACAGCTCAGGTACGTGCACAAACTATAGACTGGGTTTGATACTGAATGGTGGAAGGAAGAAAAGAACACATTTCTCTACTTTGACTTCCTACCCGTTGATTCTGCTGGTAATGTCCATTTCTTTAGGTATTTGAAAAACACCCCTGGTGGTGTCTTGAGCTGCATTTCAGTGATGGTTTGCTGTGAGTGCTGGGATTCAGTTCGTTGCATTATGTTCCTGAAAACTTTGTAGGGACAAGGATGGTTTGGGACAGAAATGCTTCCCTGAGTGGAGGGAAATAATAATTCCCCAACTTCTCCTCCCACATCAAGCCCCTGATGATCCTTGGGGAGTGGCTTTTTGTCACATTTAATCCAAGCCTGGGCTCCCCAGCACCATCCCCAGCAGCCATGTGTTCCCATGGTGAGCCATGTTTGGGAGGAATCCTTGAGTGCTTTTCAGAGGGGTGGAAAGAAGGGCTGGGCCAGGATCATGCACAGATGGTGAAAGAGCTCCTGGAAAGGGGGGGGAAACCAAGGCCTGTATTTTGTTTCCCTGCCTAGCAGAGATTCAAAACAAAGAACTGTTTAGATGAAAAGGAATTCTTTCCTTGGGGACCAAGTGCTACTCCAAACAATAGGATTATTTTTTCATTAATGCAAGAGTAGTAAAGATAGCATGCAGTTTTTATTTAGAAGTAATGGGAAGACCGGGCCCTGACTGTCTTTTATTCCAGCTCAAGTCAGTAGGATGGGGGTTAGTGTTGTTCACAACTTTTGTCTGCTGTGTTGTGAGACCAAATATTTAACCATCATTGCAGATTTGGAGAGGTGACTAAAAATAACACGGTTGGTGAACTTATTTGTTCCCGAGGTGTGATCTGAGTCACTGCTTTTACTGACTAAACTTAAAACAAAAACAAACAACAGAACCCCTCTGTTTGTTCATACTGGAGAACCAGAAGAACTCCAGAGGAATACCTGTCTATTATTAGTAAATCCTAATTTTTTTTTGAAGAACAGCAATCCCTCCAGTAAACTGAAAGGAATTTTGCCTTGTTTTGGGTATTAATTCCTGTATTCCACTTGCTGCTCCCTGCATTTGCAGTTCTGCCTGTGGGCTCCAGCTCAAAGATCCGCCTATACCATGCACATACTGTTTTAGGGGAAGTGAACACAATTCCATGTGCAAAATTCCATATCAGTATAATGTCTTTGATTCCCTACAGTGATGAAAATTAGACTAGTACCCCTGCAGCAATACTAATATATTGATTAGATCAGTTTAATTAACTGGCAAAGTCCTCCTATGTGACATTATTCCAGTTCCCTGAGTATGCCTTGCTCAAGGTAAAGGGACAGTTAGTGTTCAGAACTTCACTTCTCACTCTCTTCATCTCTCAGTTTATGTAAACACTGTTTAAATAACCATCCCAATTGTGTCATCCAAACCCTGGTTCAGGGGTACTTGCTTTCTGGAACTGTTTAGCTGAGTGCTGCCAGAGGCCAGGAAACTCTGATATAATTGGCAATAAGAGGACTTTCCAGTAAAGGAAGCCCAAATGTATCTTTGTTTATCTGAAGTACTGGGCAGTTAACTTGAAAAATGGTTTTGTGTGTGACCCTGCCTATGCAGTTATTCTGTTTGACATCCCAAATACAAGAGCAGTGCTGTAGACAGGCTCTACAGGATTGCCAGATGTCCGGTCAGTAATTGCTATACATGGGGTGGGTTACTGTGGGTAGTATGGGAATGACTCTCAAATCTCAGCTCCAGTGGTGGATGGTCAGGACTGTTTTCCAACAGAACTTGAGGAAGAATCCTCCAGCCTCCCAGATTCCGCTCACGACCATTCATAACACCGGTGAAACTGTGGAAGAAGAGAGGCTTTTCAAGGCCAGAAGAAGCTGGAGGAAATCCAGTGTCTCTTGTTTGTTTGAGTCTCATTATTAAAAAGACTTATTAAACTGCTGAAGAAAGGTCTTCAAAAAATACAGGAGCTAGTTTAAAAGTATGTGACTTGTCTGGGCCAAGGGGTGCTGTTTGAATTATCTGTGTTTGCTCACCTGTAAAACAGGACTGCAGACTGCCCTACAACATGACACTTGGCATTCACCGCTCGGCCACGATGAGGGGAGCCACTGTACAAATAGGATGTTCCATTCCCTGCCCTCCCTCAAACACTCGTGTCCATCTCAGATAACAAGCTGAAATAGGGCTTGTTATGAATTGGATTTTCTTTTAAAAGGCCAGTCAAGCTGTTTTTGTTCTGGTTTATGTGTTGCTATGAGCCACTACCACACATTCAGTTCTTCAGTGAGAATTCACAGATGCTTTTGCTGCTGCGCATGTGTGGCAAGATGTTATTTTGCTGATATGTTGTTCTCAGGAGACCGAAGGGGAAATCATACTTTGGTTATGAATTAATACAGGAACCAATCCCTTTTTTCATTAAAAACATCAGTGGAGTTTCTGTGGCTTTGGGGAGTTGGTCCCTAAG